CATGAAGGCAGCAAGGAGAGATCTCTTGTCTGTAAGTGCTAAAGGCAAATTATTATTTAGGCACCTAAAAAGAAGCAAAACCACAGTGTGTCTGGTTTGGTGACTACTGGAAAACAACATCCCAGGAAGATCCAGGGCATGGCTCTCCTCAGACACAGGATTTGGTCTCTAACTTCTGGATATCCCTGGGGATTGCCCCCTAGGAACCTCAACTCCGATAACATTTGCTTCCATGGAACAAAACATATTGTAAGCCAACGTGTTTAGCAGGAAAAGTTTAAATCTCAACTGCAAAAACCTGAAAAGTCACTGTGTGGTGAAAAAAAAAAATCTATCAAAACAGCACATGTTATCCAATTCATGTCCTTATTTAATACTTCCCCCTTTATGAAATCTGCATTTAGCTCAAACTTTACATTTTTGGGGACTCCTGCTGTAGTGCCCAAATGAATCTGAACAATGTCACAACAGTATGTCCAAGGGACAGGGAAGGGAACTCTGCACTGAGAATGTCTGGAGGTAATTCTTCAGGACAGCAAGACACAAGATTGCTTAACTGAGCACAGATTCTCCCCTGAGCTCAAAGCTTCAGCCTTGCTGAGCTGAGCTGCAAAATCTGGGAAGCAATGACACCAAAATAAACAGGGAACTACCACAGGAAGACATTTGATATTTAACAACCACAAGAATCCATCCTAAGGACCTTCTGATAATGGAGCAAAAGCTGTGTCAGTTCTCACAGAGGACCTGGCTGACTCTGCTCCTTTCAGAAGGAGATGTCAGAGCTTCCCTATCCCTAATATATTCATTTCCACTCAAACACCATTGGATAAGTCACAGGAATAAAGTAGAAAAAGCAGTGCAGCATTTTTAAAACTCTCTGCCCTCCCCACTTGGACCAGAATTTCAAGAGATCTCGGTACATTGGGAGTTTCAATTCGGCTTCACCATGCACTGAGCACTTCAAAAACTCTTTTTTTTTTTTTTTTTTTGCAGCTGGAAAAAAATAATCCAAGTTGCTTCACCTACAAAAGTCATTGGAAAGGTATCTATGGACTAAGACAGGTTTGGAATGGGGTTCTGCAGGAGCTCTGCTGGAAAAGGGACACACTAATGGCCTGTGGAAGTGGTAAAAGTCATATAAACAGTTTCTGGTAATTTATCTCAATTGCTCAATTTCTTCAGCATTAAGAACAATCACTGCCAGGAAAATGCATCAGCCTAAAGCACAGGAACATACCCTGAATCCACACTGCCCCACACTCTGTTCTTCCAGCACATGGGGGTGTGCAGCCCAGAAAACCAGCAGGACAAGTGGGATGGGAGTGAGGGTCAGCTGTGTGGGGACCTGGAACACGAGCCTGGGATCAGCCAGCAGTCTGGGGGGGCAGCAGGGCTGGGATGCCTTGGCAAAGTGGGGAAAGGGAGAGGGCACAGGCTCTGAGCCCTGTGCAGGGAGGACCAGGCTGCCCCACGCTGCGGCTGGAACGGTCCCAGCGGTAGGTCGGCCCCGAGTGCATCGCAGCTAACATGAGAACCAAACCAAACACAGCTGTGAGAGCTCTGCAGCCCCAGGCCTCGCTCGCATGTCTGGACCTGAGCAAGGCTCAGCTCCCTCCTGCCTTTTCCCTGGAGCTGGTGATTCCCACACAGCCATCCCACACGCTCCCTGCCGCAGAGCAGGCAGAGCCAGCCTGGGGCTCAGGGCTGCAGCTCTGGCCGGGCAGGAGGAGCCCAAATACAGACTGTGGATCCAAACCCTTTGAAAATCCCATGGATAACACTGCTGCTCTTCCTAATGCCATCCCTGAGCCTGTGAGCAGCAGTTTCCCCACTCAGCGTGGATAGGGAGTATTTTTCCTCCACCACATCCCTACTGTCAGGATCCTGACCATTGTCACTGGCTGATGGCACCTTCCCAGAGCACCTGGCTCCCTCTGGAGCACAGCCACACTGCTCCCCTGTGCAGGGAAGCCACAGCCTCTCCCTTCCTTGTTCAGAGGGCAGAGCTCTCTCTCATGGAGCCGTCGGTAAAACCCACAGAGCCTTCGGAAGGGTCCTGGGAGCCACTCACTTTTTCCCATGTTCAATCCACAGACAGGCACCAGTGGTTTCCCCAGGGAGCTTCTCCCAGCAGGCCCAGTTCTGCTTTCACTTAGAGTGAGGTAAACTGGGACCGGCTCCTCCGAATGACTCCACTGGTGCAAATGAGATCAGAATCTGGCACCGCTCATCTTACTCAAAACAAGCATAACTGGAACCAGATAAAACCAGTTCCAGTACGGAGTGGCCACCAGGATGATGGTTTTTTTAATTCCTGCAGGCAGTGAGGGAGTTGTCCCAGATGCCAACCACGCTGCCTTTGCCTTGCTCGGTCATTCATTACCAAACTTGCAGCAAACCCAGCGCAGCAGAGCTGCAGGGTCAGGTTTGCAGCTGCTGGAGCAAGAGGGGAAAGAGGGAAGGGCTTGTGGATGGAGCTGTGGATCTTTCAGGATCCTTCTTGCTGCTTCCCTCTCCCTCTACACCCGTTCAGGCTTTATCTTGGTCTCAACAGCAGAAATTCAGTGACCTGAGTACTGTTTTGCTCTGGTTTAGTCTCTGCTTTACACTGTGTCAGTTTGGATGACATAAACCCAACGTCTCTTATTTACTGACCAAATATCTCCACAGTATCTCCAAGACCAAAGCATAAAAACACATGGAATTTTAGGACCAGAAGGTTTTGGGGGTAACAAACCAACTCACAGTTGGTATTTTCAGTCACTACCAGGTTTCACCTCATGCTTGACATTTAGTCCATTTCTCCTAAATGTTCAGGATTTGGCCTAAGAACCACAATGAAATCACACTGTGACCCAAACACTGCTCTTCTCCCCTCTCTGGACAAGTGTCCTGAGCTCTGTGTCAGAGAAGAAGGAGGTTTAAACAGCAGAGAGAGTGACCAGGGCTCAATCCTGGCACCATTTCCAACACTCTGCTCCGGAGGACTGAGCTGGAATGGGAGTACTGACCCAGCCTAACTCCATAACTGGTGGGAATTGCTCCATTCCCACTATTGGTGCTAATTTACCCCCAGGAAAGCCCTGGCCCCCACCAGCTCGTGTCCCTCCCTCCCTAAACAGCACTGCACAAGAAACAAAGGTCTGGGGAAACACAAGCACAGCTCCTCTGTGACTCTCCCAGAAGGACAATTTTATCAACTGTTTGGGTTTTTAAGAGTCTGATGTGGATGGGTGTGAAGTTTCTTTGCCCTCAGCCGTGCTGGACCCCCTGGAACTCCAGTGCTTTGTCACGGGGATCTCGGAGTGGGTGACTACAGAGGAGGGTTGTTTTTCCAGCAGAGTTCCAAACAAAAAGAGCAGGAACAAGGCCCTGGGACGGAGCGAGAACCTGGCTCTGCCTGCCCTGCGGTCACTGCAGCTACGATACAGGAACCAGAGGAGGTACTGCTAATGCTTTAATGGGAACAGCACGGAGTTTGGGCAGGAATAACTGCCCAGGAGTTTCCTCTCCTTCTCGGCAGGTTTCCCATGGCTGCACCAGCTCAATCCGCCCTCGGCAATGCCAACACGCGGCGAGCGGAGTCTTTCCGACACGGGCAGGTCTTCAAGGCTACTTGAAAAGCATTTTTGGCTCAGGGCCTAATCCTGCACACCTCCAGAGCACCCAAAATTCCCTTCAGCTTGTTTTCCTCGCTCCGGAAAGACGAGCGGGCACTCGGGAAGCCTTTGCTCGTTTGCCCTTTTTGTGAGACCGCAAACTCCCCAATCTGGAATTCAACGCAGAGAGGTCAAGCCAAGAGCCAGGATTCTTCTCAGGGCTGTTTGCAAACACTTGGGATTTTTATACTGAAGGCAAATTCCATTTCCCATCCTGCGGTTTGCAAATTTGAGGCAAACTGCCTTTTACGAGATGGGAGAGCTAGTGCCTTCAAAGAGCTAAGTGCCCAGTGCATGCAGCTCATACTTGGCTGGTTGGACATTGCAAGGAGGACTTGAAGTTCTTTGGGTAAAAATACAAGGGAAAACCTCAGTCTCTTCATCTCTTTCCCATTACTTTCAGTAGGGAACAGATTTTCCCAAAAAAAACCCTCATGGCAAAGCTCTGTTGTCCCAAATCCACAAACACTTCCCACAGGCTGAATTGTGAATCTGATGGTTGAGCCTAAAGGGAAAAAGATCGTGGAGCAGAGCAGAAGTTTTTGGTGTTCTCATAAGAGAAATATTTGTAGGTAATAAGGGATTGTCCAGATCGACTTTAATGCAGCCTGAAAGGAAGCTAAAGCATGTTCTGTTCCCAAAATATCTCCCAGAGAAAAAGTGGAGTCCCCACTGTGCTCAAAACGCAGAGATTATTGTACGGAGCAAACCGAATACTTTGACAAACTAAAATACTATGTTAAGACTCAAGAAACAGGTAGGGATATGTTGGATACACCTCTGTAATATTCCAGTAAGTGCCCAAACTGTAGGATACAAGGATGTAAGTTCATCCCCGGGATGAATTTTTCAAGGAACAAAAGTTTGCCGTCGGGAAAACTTTCCTTGCTGATAGCTGCTGGTGTGGTTAATCGATACTGAGCGTTCCCCTTCTCCCCTCGGCACTTTTGTTCGAAACCCGAAGGAGATGGGAAAGACTCTGTACCACAGATGTGCGACCGACCCAGCGCGGCTCCTCAGCTCCCAAGGCTTTTAATTAATCCCAGCGAAAGCGACGGTGGAAACAGCTCTACGATCGCCCAGCAGATTTTTTCCCCCCACCTCCGAGTCCACTTCATCTGCAACCCAATTTCTGCCCCTGGCAATAGCCTCATCCTCCCGATCATCCATCACCGCGGGGAGAAGAGAGAGAGAGAAGAAGAGAAGAGAAGGGAGAGAGCAAAAGAGGCGCAAAAATCTAGTGCGGGAGGGGGGAAAAAAAAAAAAGAAAAAGCAGCAGGTTTGGGGAAAGGGTGTCGGGCAAGGGGGACAGACAGACACAAAGCCAAGGTTACTCACCACCCAGGCGTCGGTGGGCGCATCCCATGGGGTCGGGGCCGCGGCGGGTGCC